GGGAATTTTGTTGTTGCAGAAATCCTAAAAATTGCAAGATAAATCCGAAAATAATGGGGAAATGTCCTACACGGTTATAATCAATATGGGAAAAACCCTCCACTTATTTCCTTGGTTAATTTCGATATTTAAATCATTATGTGAGTGAAAAGGAATTTCCAGATGACTTTATTAAACTTTTGTTTTGTTGCAAATATAGTTTCAAATGCAGGACAAATCCGGAAATTAGGGGGAAATATCTTGGCGTATTTATGGGATCATCAAAATATCTTAGAAGATCAAGGATGACTCAGACTTCCACTGTTAACGAAGTGTCTGAAAGGATAATCCCTTATGCGTTGACAACACGCAACCTCCCTGCCATATGGATGTCTGTAATCTTGAACGAATGACTGTTTCGGGGATCGGAACTAGCAATTCCCCATTTCAGACCACTTACTCAAACCATATAGGACCCAAAACCCCCTGTGCAACAAACTAAAAACATAACATCCAAAACAGATGCGCACATGCTACTTTGTAACACAAACGTCTACAACATGACTGAAATTGGATCTTACAAGTGTACTCATCTGTAATAAAACCATAAATAGACCTTGAAATAAAAACAATACAATCATAAACATAAGGTTAACACAGTTTCCCCTTTAAATAATAACACTCAAAAGCAAAAACACACTTTCATAATAATATCCATATCATACCATGAAGATCGAAATTAAATCCACGAGGTCATCAAATGGAGTTCACTCTAGAAGCAGAACAACTCCCTCTTCCATTTGTAGGGTTCACAGCAGTTCCATAGGTATACGTTGTAAGAGTATTCGCCCCTGCGGTGCCATAATGTATACCATATACCACTCCCGATTACCCTCACAGTGAACACAGTCTTCAAAATAAGTTTCGTGAGCAGTAAACTTTGCAAGCGTTGGAGGAGTCACCATGCCACACATTGTATACCTCAGCAGTCGATAGATGATTGAATCCCTACATGCTTGCCTGTTAATTTTCTTGGTTTTGCTGAGCTGACACAAAAAGTCCTTCGCATCCTCCTTGCCCTCACTAGGGTTCAACAGCCCTAGTAAGCCAACAATGTAGGAGGATTCCATATGCCCTGCCATAGCCACCACCTGCAGGTTCTTGACCGCCTCATCATCTTTCAATAGGAAGAAGTCATTAAAAGCTTCTTTGTAAATGATTTCTAGATTGTTATGTTCTTTGCTCACTTCGACACACTACTGACACGGTTTGCCAAAGCTCAGGATCATTCAACTTTTGTTGAAATAACTTGCATGTTCCCGCCATACTGTACAGATCTTCAGCACAAGCAACACCTTAAACCATGCCAAGTTTGGGATGTCCATCTGGGTTGTTGGAGAAGAGGGACTGAAAAAGGGTATCTGGAGGATTTAATTAACGGTGTCGTTTGTGGACCAAGAAGAAAGTGCCGGATTGTATATATACCAAAGTTTCCCAACCGTCGTCACCCAACTTTACAATGGACGAAGACCACATTGGGTTTAGATCAGTTATTAATGTCTTCGTTTCCCAACTGGTGTGACTGAAAGGACAGTTCACACATATCGATGAAGGTGGAGGCGGCAAATTGGTGTTCTCGCACCAACAGGCCTATTTATAGCTCTTGGGTCTTCGCATTTATGAAACTACTTATCAACGTTAGCAGGCAAAATATTAAAAATGCTTTTCATGATAATAATTATGCAAATATCACATCACCACTTATGAAGGTAACTTAGTTACATTTGAACATGACCAAGTAATCAGTTTCATTTTGCCAAATATGAAACTAAATATCAACGCACCATCAACAATAAAGAAAATGAACACAGTGTTTATGATATTAATAATGCAAATATGACATCACCACTTGTGAAGGTAACTTGCATTTTAACATGACCAATTAAACAGTTGCATCTTGGCAAATATGATACTAAATATGAACGCATATCACTAGTACAGAAAAAGAAAAATGTGTGTATGATACTGATAATGCAAATATGACATCACACATTCTGAAGGTAACTTACATTTCAACCGTTATGTTAACAGTAAAATCTCCTTAAATATGATACTAAATATGAACAAATATCACCAGTAAAGAAAATGAAACTAGTGTGTCTGATACTAATAATGTAACTATGACATCACCACGGAAATGAGGTATCTAAAGTTGTCGCTCCCCACTCTAAGTCAACAAATTAATTTTGGCAGGTAAAATTATTAAGGGGACTGCTCTATAAATAAAAAAGTGAGCTATTTTACCTCACATTGCACCACCAATTTGTTAGATCCCACATCGACTAACGGAGAGGGGGTGATGTGCCTTATTTGTACATACCCGCATCCATCTAGCACGAGGCCTTTTGGGAGCTCACTGGCTTCAGAGTTGTGGGAACTTCGAAGTTAAGCGAGTTGGGGGCTAGAACAATCTCAGGATGGGTGACCCACTGGGAAGTTGGTCGTGAGCCCTTAGAAACAAAACCGTGAGGGCCAGAGAGGGGGGGCCCAAAGCGAACAATATCATGCTACGGCGGAGCCGATCTGGGATGTGACAATTTGGTATCAGAGCCACTCTGCCGTGTGGTGCGAGTGTGCCGATGAGGACGTCGGGCCCCTAAGGGGGGTGGAGTGTGCCGACAATTCTTTTAAAAAAAACCGTCGTCTTTACATCTAATAGACGACAGTTCTTTCAAAAAACCTTCGTCTTTACATCTAATAGACGACGACAATTTACCGTCGTGGTTCTATGCATCAAAAGATGTCGGTCGATTTTACGATAGTTGAAAAACCGGATACACGACGGTGGATTACCGTCGTCTATTGCGATTTTTGTAGTAGTGGTGATAATTGTTGATGCTTCACAATCTATATATGCTGGGATTTGGAGCCATGAATTTAAAGGTCATATGTTAGCTATAAACTGGGAGCAAATAACCACCCTCCATGTGATGTTGTTCTACATTTGCTTAACTTTTACTCTCCACACATCTACCTCATTTAAATTCAATCCAAAGATTTGAGAGTTGAGACATCACATTGAAAAAAATGAACAAAAATAATTGTCTCACACTTAATAATTAACAATAATTACTAACCCTAAAGAGTTCAACGTCAAGCCTGCAACTTCCCTTCTTCTTTTCAGGGCTCCACAAGAATCATCTTCATGTAAACATGCTTCAAAACGTAGTTGGCAGCATGTTAATTATCACATATATAATATAAGTTTACTGCCTTTTTTTGTTAGGATTAACAAGTTTTCTAGATGAGTAATTGGTGACAATTATATAACTAATTAACATTACAAGGATATGATTTGCAATTTACTAAACTATAGCTAGACCCTATATAATTCCTAACTTGAGTTAACCTTTATGTATATGTTCAGCAATATTGCACAAGAACCTCTCCTACTGTACAGCTACAAGAGAAGCTTCAATGGCTTTGCTACAAAGCTAATAGAGGAAGAGGCTCAGAAAATGGCTGGTTGTGGATCTAGCTTTCTTTCCAATTTGCATAAAAAGTACTGACCATTATAAGTTTTTATCTAACTGGAAGCTTGTGTGTGTGTGTATATATATAGGAATGGCTGGTGTTGTGTGTCTGTTTTCCCTAGTGGGAAGCAGAAGCTCCACACAACAAGGTCATGGAACTTCATCGGGTTTCATGAAAACGTGAAGAGAAGCACTGTTGAAAGCGATATCATTGTTGGGGTGATCAACACTGGAGTTTGGCCGGAATCTGCCAGCTTCAGTGATGCTGGGTTCGGTCCACCTCCCAAAAAATGGAAAGGCACATGCCAAGGATCATCCAATTTTACTTGCAACAAGTAAGGCTAATATACTAGACCAGTCATGTCATGATGCTAGATAATAAATGTAAAAATTATCCGTTTTATGTGATAATTGATTGACGTATTGTTACGATGGTTGAAACAGTAAACTCATTGGAGCGGGAGGGTTTGGAAAAATTTCTTGGCTCCATTATGTAGTGCATGAGCTCACGAATTCATAGACATGTAATGGCCCCAAATCAGAGTTAAAATGAGAAAGTTACGATCAAAAGAAGTGTAAGGGCATGATCGTAATTTTTGAAAATTAAGTGTTAAAAAGTCAGATTTTTTCTTTCCTTCCCTCATTTCTCTCTCCTCCCTCCCGATTCTTCCTCTCTCGCGACTCTTCTTCTCGACTGTCACTATTTGCTGTTCGTATTCTCTGGTGAATTTTGTCGCCTTCCGGTCGTTCCAAGTGACGCCACCACCCACAAAAGCTTTGTCTAAGTCTCCTCTACCTAACCCATCCCTCAATCGAACTCAAAAACCTGAAGAATTGTCAGATTTTGGACTGAAACAAACTCAATAACCTCCACCTGACGCCAACGACTGATTTCATCGAATAAGATATGGATTTTCATCCTTTTTCCACGATCTACCCGTTTTTGTAGTTGGTTTGGGTTGATTTTGTGATTTGAAGGATAGATTTGGACACCCATTTTGGCCTGCGCTTTTGGCCATGTTTCAGGCCACTTCAGCCACTATTTGGCTAGGGTCCAAGAACTAAAATACTCCTTAAATTGTGCTAGAAGTGTTGGTATAAAAATTGATTGGTGGTTTGGAGATTTTTCAGTTGCTGGAAATCTCTCATGGCACCCACCCTTGGCGGTAGCACGTGGTGGCGCGTCAATCAGGTGTTGACAAACTATTATCACCCTAAAATTAACCCCTCGCACGACGGTATGCTCAGATAAACTAAATTCGATCAATTGAGTAGTATACTAAAATTTGCCTATTGAATATTTTTGGGTTCGATGCATTCGGACTGTCAGAACTTAATGAAACTCTTGGGACTTGTTAAAGGGGTTTGGTTGAATCTGTAACAAACTTTCAAGGTTGTGCACACACTGTAAATTCTGGGAATTGGGTTTTTGATTAAGGGTTTGAGGCGAAATTTTTTATTAACCAAAGTTTATATTCTTTCCTTAGGCACTCAGACTTCACGTGCTCAATCGGAGGGACCTTCAAAGGGTCAAGCAAGTTTGGACTCACAATGAGTGGACATTTATTTTATAATGATTTTTCATACTATGATGGTTTTATGAAACGCTTTATGAACAGATTATTTATGGTATTTACTTTCCGAACATTTGATTTTGGTTAAGAAAAGGTTATATTATTATTATTATTATTATTATTATTATTATTGATAAGTGAGATTAGTTCAAGAAATTGAGAATGATTTGAGAACTGGATTTGAGAAAAGTTTTGGAAAGGTTTTCAAAACCACCTAGTTATCCTTTGGTTGCCTTCGGATTTTATGATGTCCTCGGACATCTCAGTTGCTTTCAAGAAATGGTTTGTCTTCGGACGATTTGGTTATCTTTGGATAAGTCTGCGCGCGTATGACCATGTGCCAAGAGTCTCAGGGATGCCCGAGCCGTGTGCTGCGAGGAATGTGTCTCAGGCCGACTTTGTGCCCCCTGAGTTCTGTGAGGATGTATCACACATGTGGCCACATGTGTGATACCTGGAATTGACGGTGCACTGTTGGAATTGACGAATTTTCTATGGGATACATCTGGGTGGAAAGTATTTACAGTTTGAGAAATTCTTTTATTTTGAAATTAGTGATTTGTCTTTTGTTTGATATATTATTCTTATGTATGAATCTTATTTGCTAGTACGAACATAGCATAAATTATAACTGGTTTGCCAATAGTTTTTAAATGGTGGGGTTAACATGTTCTTACTATGTTTAACACTTAATTTTTTGTCTACTCACACTTTCTTTGTTTTGCGCCCCCTTCCAGGCAGTAGACGAGTACCAGACAACCACTTGAGGGCCTTCAACCATCTACCACTTTTCCTTCTTCTCTCTCGTGTAGGCATTTACTCTGTTGTAAATAATTTTCTGGCTGTAAACTTAATTGAAATAGTTATGCTCTAATATAGTCTTGAATCCCTGTAAGGCTTGAAGTCAACTGAAATAACTATTTTGTATGTGAACTTAACTTGTGCGTGCTGAACGTTTGGGGAATTTTAATTTGTGACTTTGTTTACAAGTGAAAATTTGTTGGTTTGAGCATTTTTCAGGGGAGACTCTGACGGTTTCCCGGTAGCAATCGAACCCTAAAGGAATTCTTGGGTTTAGGGCAAGAGGGGTAGTTTAGACATTTGTGCTCGACACCTGCTAGGTGTTGGACACACACAGAGTTCGACACGGATTTCAAAGTGGAATTTGGGTCGGGTACTATCAACATAACTTAATCCATTGAGCATCATAAGTAAATTCATCTAAAAATTGATTCAAAACACATAAAAGCAGAAGGCTTACCTTTCTTTTCGAATCATATTCCGTAAATGCTTCACCTTCTACATAGGTGAAATTGATTTTTCTTCTTCTTCATCTCAAGGACTTCAGTTTTGCAGCTAAATTAATATGCTCAATAATGCACTCATTCATGCTTCGCATACCATCAAATTTCATGATAGTAAGGTTAGCCAATATTGTCCATGTAATGGACTTGTTAGCAATTCTCGAGAAATCTTTAGCATTATTTACATTAATGGAGTATAGCCTTAATTTATATTGGAATGTCTATTTATTCCCACAAACATAAAGCTCAATATGTTTGATCTTTTCCAGGATTTATGGGAAGTCTTTAATCCCCAATGCTTTACCATAATAGCAATGAGTTTCTCATTTTGAAATGCTCAATCAAGACCCTGAACACCTTGGTGATACTGGACTTGTTCACAACAAAATGAGAAATTAAATCTAAACTAGATCAAACATGAGAATGAAGCAAACCTGAAAATGACATTGCAACATAATTTGTAATATGCTTAGAATACTAATGCTTCGAGTGACCAACACGTACAAATATATATAAGACTTGAATATTCTGAACATCAATAAATGTATCATCATAACTCTCCTTTGGGATAAATTATGATAGTACCAATAATTAACAATTATGATGCATATATTTTACATTATTGGTAAGTGTATATTCCTAGTTAGAAAAACTTTGATATCTTTGGATATCCAAAACAAATCTAAATAAGACATATATAAGTTACCAATCATATGAATAGTGGATCCATCTTTGAGTCCATCTATCTTATGAATGATGAAAATCAATATACTCATGACGTTCGAACCTTGAAAACATTATAAGGTTCAACCTCACTTTTATGCATCCTTAAATCACAAGTAATTGAATAATTATCATTTAATTTGATATTCAAGGAACGTTCTAGCTTGACCACTTTGGTGACTAACAAACCATTCATGATATGAATGTCAAATTAAACTAACAACTGTACTAGTTAGTCAATTACATAAGATTAACTGATACACTTTAATGGTTAATCGATCATTAGATTAATTAACTTGATATTCAAGGAACGTTCTAGCTTGGCCACTGTGGTGACTAACAAACTACTCATAATATGAATGTCAAATTAATTTAACAACTGTAATAGTTAATCGATTACATAAGATTAACTGATACACTTTAATGATTAATCGATCATTAGATTAACTGATAAATATATGACATGTTTAACACAGTAGTGGGCAATAGATCCTTAGATTGCCTCGCCTCATAAGACAAAGTACAGTGACAACGAAATACAATATGCTTACATTTATTATTATTATTTTTTAAATAACTTTAATTCACTATACGTGTCAACACCAAGATCTATGTAGCATAAGTTTGTAAACGGTCATACAAAATAGATCATCTAATTACAAATTTCGTTGAATATAATCACAATTCTTCATTCGGTGCAAATATTATGCAATTTTCCCAAAATTAGTATTGCATAAAAGGAAACATTAGGCATCCAAATCAATTAAGAAACCCTATGAACTTTACAACTACTACACTGAAACCATAGCCCAGCCATCCAAATCGATTATGCAAAACTGATTGATATGTAACCAAAAGCACTTACACCGAGACATAATATGCTTTAATAACATCTCATATATAAATATATATTGTATCTCTCTAATGCAATTAAAATACATAATTTCTGGCACATCCATATGATTGCATGTAGAACTTCTTCACCAAAACAAATTTCTATTATTTATTTATTTATTCATTCTATGCATAGAGAAGCATGTTCAAACGACTTCATGGATACAGCACCAGAACCAAAAGGAAATAATATTCATAAGATTGACCATTCATACCGCCAACTAAATGAAAGTAATCCTTCTTGGTTTAATGGTACATACTTCATACGGCACAACCAATGCATACATATATATGATTCAAATAAGTATAAATCCAATAGAAAAATTCATAATGGAAAATCACGAACGCTCTTAACCATGCTTTGATACTACATATAAACTTAATATTGGGTCAAACCATAAGAACCCAATCCATGATCCAAGATCTTGAACTTCATGATTTTCACAATAGCATTAGGTGGAAATTCAATTAGACTTAAATTATATACATACCTTAAATGATTAGTCTTCTACCATATCAAGATATTTGTCTTGAGCGATCCGTAGGCGGTCAGTGTGGAGGAAATAGATTTCTCTCTCTAGCATTTTGTATGTTAGAAAACCCTAATACGTGTTTTCATCAGTGTACACATAAGATGGGTATGTGCACTATTATAGGCAAAGAGAGGACCCGTTTCCTAGTGAAGTCCATAATTAATTACCACCCATCACAATAATAAAATAAAAAACTACTTCTCTTTATTTGAGTAATATAATTATTTTGAATAATAGTTATTAAACCAATTAAACAATTTATTTACCACATAGGTCACTTCATGTGGGCCACACAGAATATTTATAAAGTATTCTTACATGTGAAGCATCAACAATTATCACACAAGCTGACAGCTTCTAGGCGGGGCATGATGTTTGTTGAATATGATATCACATGCACTTTTCTTCCAACTCATGAAGAAAAAATCATGAGGCAATACTCCACCTCACATAATACAAAGATAATATCACATGGGCTTGTTGAATATCACATGGACTTCTCTTGTTAATAAGTGAAACTTCGTTGAAAGACAGATAATACAACCACCAACAAGAACAAAGGCAGCAAGCAAGAATACAACCACCAACAAGAACAAAGGCAGCAAGCAAGCCACAAGACGAGAGAACCACAGGGAACCAACCAAGTCTCTCAGTAACAAGAGGAAAAATCCAATATTACAACCAGAGGGAATCGTCTCTATACAACTAGAGGGAATCCTCTACCGGTTCTTAATGGGCGCTTGTCCCTTTTATTTTTTGGTCTGAACCATGAGGTGGTCCTGGATGGGCCCCAATTATGGGTGACACCTTTAAGCCTTAACCACAACCCAGACTAATCCCCACTCACACCGGGTCGGCCCGTAAGGGATAAAGTGTTGGCCAAAGTGGTGACTCCGTACGAGAGTAGGGATTGAACCCCTGACCTCTCTTAAGGAATGAGAGTGCCGAACCACTCACACCAACCACCTTGGTTTAATTAATTAATTTATTTTTTAACCAAAGTGATAATGACAGTTAAAAATAATGAGGAATTTCTTAAATAAATTCGAGGAATATTACAGTTAAAAATTCTTTGAAAAAACAATGAGGGAATTTAAAAAATGAAACGAATATCTTTGGAAGACCAATAAAGGGATGGATCACCAGAATTTGCTTTTGTGACACACTAAGAAATGGGGAGGGTGTGTTTATGTGAGGGGATTTAAAATGTAAAGCTCAACATTGGAGAACCACAAGCAAGATAAAGGAAAACATGAAGCAATGTCACATGGTCATGGAGACAATTTCAACTGGTATATATATAGTACATTATGTTGCATATATAGTGTAAAAACATACACCACCTAATTTAATTGAAAATATAGGAGAATGCATCATCATATTTCCCATGTTAACAAAATTGGAAACGGAACGGTATGTTTGAAGGAGCCGGAAGAAAGTTCTAGTCGATCAATTGCACACGACACTAATATAGAAATATGGGGTTAGCCCTACAAAGAAAAGTCCCATAATATGTTTTGTACTCAGGATATTAAGAATTTTCCAATAAATCTGACCATAAAGAGACTAAGAAATGAAACTGTAATAAGAGCATCTCCAATGAGCTAGGTATCTCACAAGATAAAACGTGTCACATTAACATTTTTAATTTTCCAAAAACTAGGCACCTATCAACAAACTCTTGGTCTAGTCACTATCCTTCTTCCTAATTTGACAGAGGCTCCCCATTGATCAAATTCCCCCTCCTCCATTAACAAGGTAAAGCTGCATCATCCCTCACACAAGGCAACTATACTTCGTTGAAAAACGTGAGGATAGTTGGGCCCAATCAACTTTGTTAATGAAAAAAACATTTAGGGCCCGTTTGGTATCTTATTTGGATCCAATTTTATAAACTCAAAAGCAGATTTTAAGTCCAAAACTCCAAAAACCCGTTTGATAGGCCCATTTTTAAAAACCTAAACCCCAAAAAAACTCAAAAACACCCCAATTATTGAACACAATAAAAGTGAGTTTTTCCATTTTTTTTATCCTCTTCTTTCACGTCTCTAGCCTCTCTCTCCCCTTAACCATCGACAGAGTCATCAACGGTGGGGGAGGCTCCATCGAACTCATCCCTAGATTGGATCGACGAGATCGAGACCATTCTGATGTAAGACGACGATGTCAGCGACCCAGATCTCGTCGTCGGTGACGGCAGCTTCGACTCAGATCTCGTCAGCGACTGCGCCGCCTGCAACCCTGTTTTTTGTTGTTGTTAAACCTGAGTTCATGATTCTTCACTGTTGGGATTCGTTGGTTCATTAGATAAAGAGAGGTAGGGCTCGTTTGGGAGTGCTTTTGGAGCAGCGAAAAGCGCTTCTAAATGGGTGAAAGCGCTTCTGTCTTTTAAAAATGGTGTTTGGCAAAAATTGCAAAAGCGCTTTGGGTGAGATCCAAAAGTACTTGGAGTGGTTTTGGAAGAAGCACTTGAGAGGTGCTTCTTGTTAAAAGCGCTGCAGGACAAAAACAAGGGAAGCACTTGGCTCCCTT